GGGAAACGATAATGAAAATGCTTTGGAGCCGTGATAAGGCCTTGTAACTTCGCTGGTGTGGATGCAGGAGCAGCTGGCAGTGAGGAGAGTAAAGAGACCTGGGGTGATGTGCCAGAGGAGCCCGTGGCTGGGTGAAGCCTTGCCCTGTGGTCCCCCTCTGCCTCGCCTTCCCCACTTGAGATGGAGAAGCCCTGGCTTGGTGTGTTGGATGAAATAATTATGGAGAAGCCTGGAAAGTAATAATGTGGGATTCCAAAAACAAACGTTACTAATCACATGCTGATGCTTTTACCAAACTGAGTAAACGTGACTTTTTCTTAATAAAGTCTAATTACTGACCTAATACAGGAGAAGGAGGTGTTTCAAAAACAGCATGCTGGGGCGGAGAGGAGAAGGCGTGTGTGCTTTTGGTGTGGTGGGTGTCGTGGCTGCTTTTTCAGAAGTCTTAGTTCCACATGTCTTTAAGAATGGGAGTAAGCATCAAAAAATTCTGAGGAATGGCGAGTGAGAAATAAACGTTCCAGGCAGAGTGGGAATAGGAAGCCAGGCCTTGCCTGCTGATGGATGGCTCCGCAGAGTTATGGTACCTCTGGGAAAGGCCCACGTGCAGTTCACAGAATCACAGGATGGTTTGGGTTGGGAGGGACCTTAAAGACCATCCAGTTCCAACCCCCCTGCCATGGGCAGGGACACCTTCCACTAGACCAGGTTGCTCCAAGCCTCATCCAGCCTGGCCTTGAAGACTTCCAGGGATGGGGCATCCACAGCTTCTCTGGGCAACCTGTCCCAGTGCCTCACCACCTTCTGCCCCTTAATGCCTCCCTGCAACAAATGCTGCTTTCCCAGAACTGGTACGGGCACCGATGCCTAGAACGCTGCATGTAAATTAAATACGTACTCTTCCTCCCACAGGTGGATTTGCTGAGTTCTCCAGCTCTTTCCCGGGTCTCTGTGAAGGAAAATCCACGCTCGTCCCTACTTGCATTTCTCAACCCTGCCTACCTGTCTCCAACATTGGCCCAACCAGAATCCTGCCTCATCTCTACCTTGGCTGCCAGCGGGATGTCCTCAACAAGGTGAGCGTTCTGGGCGCCACGCTGTTTCCTTGGATGAGCACATGATCGCGGTGTGCCTTCCCCCACGCTCCTACCCTGCTGCACCGTTACAGCTATAAACCATCTCCAGTAGGTACGGATAGTAGCTGTGTGGGCATGCGCCACGGAAAGCTGTGCGAGAACTGACACACAGGCCATGTCATGGCTTATCTCGCCTCTTCACTCCCTGTGACTGCCCGTGGAAGAGCCGGAATGGCTTCCACCTTTAATATCCCTACCTTTGTTAACCTCAAGGAGCTGTGGGACAAATTACGATGCCTACCTCGTAGAACCCACTTGACATTTTCCCAGCTGTCGGCAACCCCCAGTTTCCTGGGTTTGATCCGTTTCTTGGTTCAGCTAAAAGTCAGCGGTAGCTAGACGTCGGCACGTTAGGAACACCAACAACACCGTGGCTCCTGCCCTCCCTCCTGCACGCTGTGCTGGGGAAGCCTGGGTCCCACGGGGAGAGCAGGGGGGAGGACTCCTCCTACACTGCGTGCCCAGAAATACCAGTATGCGGTAAGAAAGCGCGGAAGTGAAGAGCGTTCAAGAGGGGAGGGCAAGAAACAAAACCCATGGATAAGCAGCAAAGTTCTGTCTGTGTTAGGACAGTCCAGGAGCTGGTGAGTGGTTATGTTTGCATGCTTTGGCTTAATGGCCCTGCTGGTTTGTTGGCTACTGGGGTCAAGAAATGAACCTCCTGTTAAAATTAAAATGGTTGGGGTCTTTTTTTATTCATATAATTTTTTTTTTTAATAATTTTTTTTTTTTAAATCCCATTAAGATTCCCAAAACTATTAAGATGTAGCTGTCCACATTGACCTTATTCGCCATCAAATGCCGAGTTCCCCTGATTCCTTCCACTGACCAGACATACCGATTTCTCTGAAATGAAAACGGCACCAAAATGTTTGGAAAAAGGCCTCTCCATCTGCTCTCTTGTTCAGCCTGACGGTTTAAAGGTGTGAATTTTCAGCATGTTTTATCAAGATGAGCTTATCTTTTCAGGGTCCTCATAAGCTTGTCGCTGAGGGCACGGGTAGGGAAATGCTTGTCTGGTTGCAGGAAACTCTGTACTCATGACCTTTTACGAATACTGACGGTATTTGGGATTCGTAGCTCTGCTGGTAATGCTTTGTTCACGACAAGGCGTGCAAACACAAATGCTTCGCTTGTGTCCTTTACCCAAATTCATGATCAATTCAGGAAGAGTGTTAGGAGATTGTTTATATTTTTGCTTCACCGGTTTCTTTCTAAATGCTCAATTCTCAAAACGCTCATAATGGTGGTTTCTCATTTTTGAAATACTAAGAACCTCACAAAAGGTCTTCATGAAAGGTTTGTTGCAGGTTTTTGGGTCTGGGAGTGCCATGCTGTGGTTACCTCAGTGGGACATTTTGGTGGCAGTGCCAGAGGGTGCTTGGTTTTACAGATGATCTGTGGTGGGACAGAGAGGCAATATCAGTTCTGACCCGCACAGGAGCCACAGTGTCCTTTCTGAAAGTGTAACGGTGCAGGGGGCAACCCCCTGTGTTGTGTTCTGGGCCTGAACCAGCCTCCTCCTTACACCTGGTGTTTTGTACCAGCATTGAAACAGTGAAACTTTCCGCTTTCCTACTTACGTAACCATTCCCTTTCTTTTCTTCCAGACCTGGAGTGTATTTCCTGGAACACAGTAACGTTTTTAGGGTGCCATTAATTTTGAGATTAAACAAGTCATAAAACGTAAATAAGCTGACAAAAGAGCATTTACCTTCTTTTCAGAGAGTTGTTAGCATTAGGATTTCTGGTTCTTCCTCCCGTCGTAACTCACCCCTTCCTCTTGGGTGCCGTACAATGAAGGCACTGTTAGGGTTATGAGACTGGAGCGTGTCGCACAGGGAATGATGGATAGCTCAGAACAGAAGGAAGCATAACTCTCTCTTCTTTTGCCTGAGTCTCTAAGACAAGCACTAACACGTTTTTTTGGGTGGGTTTTTTTTGGCTCGGAGATTTCAGGCTCTGTGTCTGCAGCCTCCTCTTTCTCATTTGGATCATCAGTTCCACATCCAAAAAACCTTGCACGACTGTGGAACGGTGACGGCTGGACTCTGCAGCCCACCAGCGCTTACGCTTTAAACGAAAGAACAAGGTTTTCTGTTCCTTCTCTGCACTCACCAGCGTTTCCCTAGCTGAACAGCCAGCCAGCCCGTTTGTTCGTGACACCTTCACGGGTGATCACGTTCACGCACCTTCATGCCCGCCGTTCCAGCCATTCCTTCCTCGCCTTTACGCAGCACCAAGAGCTGGCCCGGGGGAATAATTTCAACGCTGTCATCTAAAGCAGCCACTTGCGTCACACAAGCTGATGTCGCACAGCTTGGGACCCCAGGAGGGAAGAGCTGTGTGGCCCAGGACAGTGAGGCAGAGATGCTGGGGATCGGGGGTCCCTCTGGCACATGTAAGATACCCCAGGTCTAGCCGTAGCTGGCCCCCTGTGCCAGCCCCCAGTACCTTTCCTTCTGGGTAAATCCAGATATTCCCCCGCTTCCTGACAGCACCCACAAGATCGAGTTCTGGCTCTTCAGCTAAACAGCCATAATCCCTGCTTCTCCTCGCCGGAACATCTTTAGGCTTGCAGGAAAAACACACAGGGGGAAGCCACCACCATTTGGCTTCGTGACTGTATTTTCATACTGGTAGATCTCCAGTTGAGATCTGCCGTGTAAGAATTCATTCTTGCTACTGCTCCCATGGATTGACACTGAACGTGAGCTGGACAAGAGCCCAGAAAGCCAACCGTATCCTGGGCTGTATCCAGAGCAGCGTGGCCAGCAGGGCGAGGGAGGGGATTCTGCCCCTCTGCTCTGCTCCTGTGAGACCCCACCTGGAGTGCTGCGTCCAGCTGTGGGGGCACCAACATCAGAAGGATATCGACCGGTTGGAGCGAGTCCAGAGGAGGCCACGGAGATGCTCCGAGGGCTGGAGCCCCTCTGCTATGGGGACAGGCTGGGAGAGTTGGGGGGGTTCAGCCTGGAGAAGAGAAGGCTCCGAGGAGACCTTATAGCACCTTCCAGTGCCTGAAGGGGCTACAAGGAAGCTGGGGGGGACTTGTTACAAGGGCCTGTAGTGACAGGACAAGGGGTAACGGGTTTAAATTGAAAGTGGGGAGGGTTAGATTGGATATCAGGAAGAAGTTCTTCCTGGAGAGGGTGGGGAGGCACTGGCACAGGTTTCCTAGAGAAGCTGTGGATGCCCCATCCCTGGAAGTGTCCAAGGCCAGGCTGGATGAGGCTTGGAGCAACCTGGTCTAGTGAAAGGTGTCCCTGCCCATGGCAGGGGGGTTGGAACTAGATGGTCTTTAAGGTCCCTTCCAACCCAAACCATTCTGTGATTCTATGGCACAGCTTTTTTATATAATTGCTATAAAAGCAAAAGAATTAAAATCAGAGTTTCTTTTTTTTTTTTTTTTTTATGTTTCAGTTTAGTTTCAGACATTAATTTCCATAGAAATCTGGCCAATAGCTCCCCAAGGTTTGTATTGAGTGTCACTGCTGTCCTAGCACATGCCAAATCAGGTCTGACCAGAATGGTCCTTTGGTCGGTGTCACTCCAACCCGCTTCATTGCTTTTTGCATCAAGGTGCTCACTTGCAGGAGACTGGGCGGTCTTGGTAGAGCCAACTCCGGTTCTTGAGTACTTCATGTTTTGCCACCAAGGTACCTACTCCCTCGGCTACTACCTTGCACAAGTCTAAATACAAAGAGTATGCAAGAGGTGTCTTTATTTTATTTGCAGTCATGAAAATTGACTTATTTCAAAAGCCCAGTTGGCGCTGATACTGTGAGTCTGCTTGTTGCGGTGGCAGCCTGTGAGACACAAGAGGGCTAAAGGCTGAGAACTGAAATAGGAGCAGAATCACAGGATCACTCAGGTTGGAAAAGACTGGTCAGATCATCCAGCCCAACCATCAACCAAACGCTACCCTACCCACTAGACCGTGTCCTCAAGCACCACGTCTACCCGTTCCTTGAACACCTCCAGGGATGGGGACTCCACCACTTGCCTGGGCAGCCCGTTCCAGCGCCTGACCAACTCTACTGTAACCTGCAAAGCGGAACTCCTATAAACTGCAGTTAGTGCTGTGTAAAAATGGTCTAATTCAACGTCTTCAGCTCTTGCCTCAAGGTTTGGAGTGAGTTTTGTGCCGCTGCCTTAGAAACACGGAAGCCCCGGATGCTTTTAAGAGGTGTCACTTTCATTCTGTATTTCTCGCCAGGGTCTGTGATGGGACAACCTCAATCTTAGATACGGGATCCAGAAAACGTGTGTTTGGGCGAGAATAGTGCGTGTGGGGACGGTTTGGTTATGCTGCCAGGGGGCAGGGTGAGAATTTAAACCAGAATACTCAAAAAATCCTTCTCTTGGAAGTGATGCTTCAGAGTAGCAGAAGGTATTCTCCCACTACTTCCCTTCTTTGTTAACTTTGCTTTTATGGACTTTGCGATCCGTATGTTATTTGGACCCGTTGGAGTGAAGGTTGTTTGAAGAACTGAAAGCTGAGGAGTTGTCTTTTTTTTTTCCAGAAGGAACGCCTCTAGTATGGCTGGAGCAATTCCAACGCGAATTCCGGTTTGTTTTTTAGCTTGATGACGTGCTCGGGGTTCGTGGTTTCCCAGCAGTGTGCCAAAGGTGCCACGCGACTTCGCCAGGCCTGACCTGTCTCTCTTTCCCAGGAGCTGATGCAGCAGAACGACATTGGCTACGTACTGAACGCCAGCAATACTTGTCCAAAGCCTGATTTTATTCCGGAATCCCATTTCCTGAGAGTGCCTGTGAACGACAGCTTTTGCGAGAAAATTTTGCCTTGGTTGGATAAATCAGTCGAATTTATAGGTGAGAAAAAAAAACCCATAAATTCTCTCCCTGAAGGAGTTTCTGGATTCCTTCGTGTGTCTGCCTGGCGGTTCTGGCTGGAGGAGACCCGAGTGCCTTCTGGGTGGTGTGAAAATACCCCAAAGACCGACGTAACGTGGTCACCGGCACTTCAGAGCCTGTAGTGATAGGACAAGGGGTAATGGGTATAAATTGAAATCAGGGAGGTTTAGATTAGATATCAGGAAGAAATTCTTCCCAGAGAGGGTGGTGAGGCACTGGGACAGGTTGTCCAGAGAAGCTGTGGATGCCCCATCCCTGGAAGTGTTCAAGGCCAGGCTGGATGAGGCTTGGAGCAACCTGGTCTAGTGGAAGGTGTCCCTGCCCATGGCAGGGGGGTTGGAACTGGATGGGCTTTAAGGTCCCTTCCAACCCAAACCAGTCTGTGATTCTATGATTCTATGATTCAGAAGCAAAACAACGTAGGGAGACGCTGGCGCTGCGCGTTCCAGGGCTTGGGGGACAAAGACACCTTTTAGGAGCGCGACCCTGCTTTCTGGCAACCCGATACGCACCTGGTACGTGCCGGCAGAGAGCGAACTGGGAAGTGGGACGTACGGATCCTGTCTTTAGCTTGCAGGAGTGAGCTAGCCACACGTGAACTGCCCAGGTTGTTCCATCCTGAATGCTTGCGTTTTACGTGCCTATAAAATCAGAAACAATCAATCTTCTCAGAGAGCTAAATAGGGTTGTTTATGTGCACAGTAAAATGCAACGGCAGCCTGTTTCCCCGTGGGCAGTCGCGTGCCTGTTCCGCGCCCGGTGCTGGAGAAAGTAAGTGATTTTTGTTGAAAGCTTCCATGAGATCTGCAATTAGTGCTTAATTGGGAAGTTTCTGAACGCTTTCAAATACCGGGCGCTCTCTCTGCAAACCTTTCGTCGTGGTATGCTGCTGCCCAGTGTGACACTTAACCAATTCCTCTGCCCTGCAGAAAAAGCAAAAGCCTCCAACGGCCGCGTGCTGGTGCACTGTTTAGCCGGAATATCTCGCTCCGCCACGATCGCTATCGCATACATCATGAAAAGAATGGATATGTCCTTAGACGAAGCTTACAGGTAAGGAGAAACTTTCCCTTCCTGTTAATTCTGGTGCCCGTTGGCTGGTTTTGGAGGTGAAGGATAAAAGGTCGCGGGGGTAGCAGCAGACACCCTGGTTTACCCCACCGCTCACCGGCCGCTGCACGCTCCCCTTCCGAATGTTGGGGCTTCCTCCAGAGACAAATGGTCGCGTGGTGTAGAGGTCACACACCCCACCAGCAAAATGCCGATGGGGGTCTTTGCTCCCAGGAGGCGGATGCATGGAATTCCAACGGCTCGTTCAACACGCGCAGCTGTACCGGGGGTGTAACGGCATCTTGCAAGTCAGAGGGAGACTGGGAGGGATAGGGTTAAGGAAGGAGCACTGGGGCTATTTATAGCCAGGCTTATGACAGATGGGAGGCTGGAGCTGCCGACTTCGGTTTGGTATTCCGTAATGCTGTCGGAGAACCGCCTCCAGGTGAAACGTCTAGGAATTAAGAAAGCTGCTTTGTTGCTTAAACGCAACCGGAAAGCACTTCGACGTGTCGGCTCCTTGTGGCATCAGGGAACTTTTGTGGGACCACCCCCCATCCCCCCCGCCACTTTTTTAACCTCTCGGATCCCACCTTCCTGTACTTGGATCATCAGGATGTCAGCAGATCCCAGGGGGTATGCTCACCACAACCCCCCGACCGCAGTTAACCGCCTGCCGTGCCACGGCGCACGCGAGGCGCTGGTTGTCTTTTTGCTGGGCTTTACCGGGGGGTGCCGAGGCAACCCGCGCCGTTGCGCTGGGGCAGGAGTACTTCTTGGGGGGGGTCCTGCTGCCGCTGTCTCCGGAACAGCGCTGAGGACGGGGAGAGGAACCTTCAGCCTGCCTTTGCAGAGCGTCACTTCCACGGGGTGTGTACTTTTGAAGCCGGTGAACGTGACGGCGCACGCGAGAGGTGCCCGAACCACAGCCGTCTCCCGCTGCCTTTAGGCGTTTTCCGCGGCTTCCCTGCCGACAGTTCAGTGTTGTGCGGGAATTTCAACGCGTAAGGCGACGCAGGTAGGGGTACTGGGGCTGAATTAGTGGATGTGGATGGACCCTGTGCAAGGTGCGAGCTTGGCTCGCTAAGAAACTGGCTGGCCTCAGGCTAGAGTGGTCCGGAGGTCAGAGCTGTAGAGTGCTAAGCGCTTCTAAAACCCCCACGCTCCAGGGAACTCGGGAAGTGCCGCTTCCGAATTCCTCCCTGAAATCTCTGCATCGAATTCCAGTTTGTTTCTCCACCAGAAGCGTCGGTCGGGTGTGAAGTATCGACCCTCCCGGGCCTTTCGTCCTCGCGCGGAACGCCTGCTGCAACGCGCAGGCCATGTTTTGCGGTGAGGTGAGACCAGGCCGCAGCGTGTTTCCGCTCCTGGGCTGGGGATCGCCTGTGGGCAAAGCCTGAGGGAAGAGCCCTTTGCGCTGGGTCAGCCCTCGGCGATCCGTAAAGGGTCTGCCGCCCGCATGGAAAGCAAGGGTCGCTGTTACTTGACGGGAGCGCCCTGAGGAAAGAAACATTTCATAGAATCATAGAATCACAGGATGGTTTGGGTTGGAAGGGACCTTAAAGCCCATCCAGTTCCAACCCCCCTGCCATGGGCAGGGACACCTTCCACTAGACCAGGTTGCTCCAAGCCTCATCCAGCCTGGCCTTGAACACTTCCAGGGATGGGGCATCCACAGCTTCTCTGGGCAGATTTGCCATCTCGCATACAGTGGACACAAAAAGGGAAGCAAATGTCAAAATTCAACGTTGCGCGCATTTTCTATCGGGGGAAAAACCCCGAAATTTCGCGTTTTGAAATGACACAAGTTTGCAGAGCCTTCCAACTTGTTGGCGGGATCCAGCAGACTTCCTCCAAATCCTTTTCATTTTTTCTTTTTAAAAAAGCCAGTTTTCGGTTTAGGACTGGCCACTGTTTTGGGGTGAGACACGGGGAAGGTGGGAGGGAGCGGCCAGCAGGAGACGGGCCAGAACTGGGAGTGTTGATCAGAAGGATCTTTCTTGAAATAACAAATCCAGCTTTGCGTGGCAAAGAACGTAGGAAGAGCGAGCGAGAGCGAATTGGGCAGCTGCAACAAAACGCCCCCAGGTTAAACGCCAGGAGAATCGACCCCAGGAATCTCTTCCGAGGAGACCTACTCCCCTGCCGGTGCTGGCACCTCACGGCGGGTGTTTCCGCCCTCACCTCGCCCGGTCCCCGCGTCCGCTCAGCTCCTCCGCCTGTTCCGTGTCGGCCTGGGTGCCGTTCCTCACGTGCTTGCTCGCGTTTGTGCTGCCGCAGGCCCGCCTCCCGGTTTTTGTCCCGCCGGCTTTAACGGCCACACGCGCGCCTTCTCCGCCCAGCCCCCCCGAGGTTTTGGGTTTAACACTTCATTTTCCCAGCGACACATGGCATGTGTGTCCATACCAGACTGTACCTCTCCAAGGTTTCTTCCCTTGTTAATTCCCTTGTCATCTGGTACCTCCAGAGTTCCAGGAAAGCTCTTTTTTTTTCCAAAGGGAGGAAGGATTTGTGCAGCTTTCTGCTTTACAGCCCGTAAAAAGCGAGGAGTACGCTCTTAGCTGTACAGGAGGCAGGTGGGAAGTATTTAACTTCGGAGCAGGGGGCATCACTTCCAGCACTCCAGTCTTCGATACCCTTTGGGGAAAGCAGTTCAGTTCTGCACGGCCCCTTGTCCAACAGCGAGCGGGTGCGTAAGAGCGTGCTTAGGCTGGCACGTGTGTGAGGGTCAGGCTGCTCCCACGGGACTCCGTCGGGGGCTCGGTGCCACCGTCACCCCTTCTCTGCGGAACCTACGGAGCTGCGAGACGGTTGTTCTTTCCGTGCCGCTTTTGCTCCTTTCCGGTTTTCTCTCTGATTATCCGACGATCGGTCAGTACCAGCGCGTGGTAGGTACGTCAGCCTGCAGCAGGGCTCGTTGCCTTACCTGACGAGGATGAAGAGGGTCGGAAGCGCCCAGGGCGGTGACAGGAGCCGGGGACTCCTCCCTGCGAGTGCTGCGGAGGGGGGTGTCTGCTTTCTGCACCGCGGGGGCAGCTGGGGTCTCTCGGCTGGAGCGCTGATGCTCTTCATGCAGAACTCTCAAATCCGGCCAGAAACCGGGGTGGTAGCGATCCCACTGGTAACGTAAAGTAAGGGAAACGATTCCCTCAGACCTTGTTGTGGGCATCATAAGGAAGTAAGGCTGGGTTTAGCCACCGCTAAGTAAGCTGTGGGGAGAATTGTGAGCGTCGGGCATTGTCTTGCTTAACAGCTGCCTCTTTTTAACTCCATCCTTAAGTTCCCCGTGCTTGACTGACGCGCTTCCAGTATCCCGACGAGTTACAGTTAGGCTGTTAGCATTCCCAGCCGTCCCTCCAGGGTTTTCTGGGGTCGAAGCAGCAGGTGCTTAAAGTAATTCTTGTTTTGTTTGCCCCGTCCTTCCAGATTCGTGAAAGAGAAGAGGCCAACCATTTCTCCCAATTTCAACTTTCTGGGCCAGCTCTTGGACTTCGAGAAGAAGCTCAAGAACCAGAGCGGTCAGCCTGGACACATCACTAAGCTGAAACTCCTGCACTTGGAGAAAAGCAGCGAGCACGCGCTGGGCCCGGAGGGGGGACAGAGCAGCCTCTCCTCGAACCAGCTCTGCGTGACCGCTGCCTCCGAGGCGGCCGAGCAGAAGCCGACGGACTGCGGCGCTGGGTCACGCGGGCGCCTCTCCCCCCTGGAAGACGTCCCGCTGGTACAGGGCATAAACGGACTGCACGTCTCCCTGGACAAGGTGGAGGACAGCAACCGGCTGAAGCGCTCCTTTTCTCTGGATATCAAATCCGTGTCCTGCTCGGCGAGTAGCAGCTGCGTGACCGCGTCGGTGCAGGGCTTTGCCGCCGCCGAAGACGCCCTGGAGTACTACA